AACTAAATCCCAAACCCAAAAAACTATACCCTAAATCTAAAATAATTAACCTAAAATCCAACAATTTAAATAATAAACTCACATAGGTTACCTTCGTAGCAACTTATAATCAAGGCGCTTCATAAATCAAAGGCATTACCTGCAATTGAAGATCATCTTGCTCATCTTTTATCATTTGTGGTAAATCAGCCGTATTGGTGTACTCTTTACGAATATATGTGTTGTAACAAAAAGGTGCTTTCAAAATAGTAAGGAGTGTGACATAGATTTAAAAGGCTTCCTATGCGGGTTCAGGAGCTCATCGGTGGTTACAAGATCTCTTTAATAGAGAAGGGTGTGAATTCTCTTGTTAGGACAAGAGCATATCAGCGGCGAAACCAGGATATTTTTTTAATCGGGGTCAAAAAATATACTAAAACATATCCTACGAACCATAGAAAAAAATCTAAGAAATGTATATAACATTCACTCATAGTTTAAAATTTTTAATTCACTTGTTCCATTTACTACTTTCTAAAATTGGAAAATAATTAATATCTTAAAACTATGTTTTGTTTAGCTATTCGAAAATAAGTATATAACAAAAAAAATTATAATTTTTCCTTGGAAAATTGTAAATTAGATGGATTTGTTTAACTAAACCTAGGTAAATTGTGGAAAATTACATTAAACTGGATTTTAAAATTTAAACGTGGACCCAATTTTTAGTGTATTGATCTTGTTTATTCTATGTATTTAGATTGATTTTCTATTGGGATTGGGTTATAGGGGTCAGAAATTAAATTTAATTAGGGTCATTATCATTAAAATTGAAAATATATAATGGATTTTTTGAAATTAGTAGGGGTCATATTAGTGTTGTGTTAAAATGATATATAAATCGTAAAATTAAAAAAATGTTGTACATAGCATTTTCCAAAACATAAAAGAGAAATTTCAAAAAATGTCACTTTTCAAGTGCCACTTTACAAAAATACCACACTTTGAAATCTTTATAAAAATGTCACTTTTTCAAA